GTATTATAGTTTGAGTGCAGCCGAAGTTTTTTTTTTTTTTTTTTGTTTTTGTTCACCCTATAAATGATCAATTTATTGTTTGAAGTAAGCTGCAATAGTAATATTAAATATAATTTTGAAATCGTCAGTCGATCTGAAAAATGGAGTATCGAAAGAATGCATTCTAAATTTTGTCATGCCTCTGTTGACCGATCCGAAAGCTTCAACGGAAATGATCCGCAAATATTGTTAACACTTGTTTACCAATTGGATAATATTTATGTACGCTCAAGTTTATTCTAAGCTAAAAAAAAAAAAAAAACTGTTTGAAGAACCTAGATATATCTAACGACCAAAGGTAAACCGTCTCCAATAATGTCATCCTGTGGAATCGTGGCGCCTTCGCTTTTGTCTGCAGTGACCAAAGTCCTCTTATAAACTACTCTCATATCTATTTCTACAATTATTTCTCATCATATTCAAGGAAAACTATACAATATCCCCTCCTTTAAACATATTTATTCTTCTGTCATTCAACTAAAGTGAACTATTATTTCTTCTTCACATATCAGCCGTGTGCATCAAGTGTTGCTTGTTATTCGCCGCTGGCGTTAAGCCATGCTCACGCACACCAAGTCACCACCCTCTCCACCTCATTTGCCATTACTTCGTTCCTTTGTCTATAAGTGCGAGTACGAATGTGGCTTATGTGCAGGTAAAGCGATGTGATGAAGTGGCGCACTTTATCATTTGCATTTATTATAGAGCACGGCACGCTCTATAAACACACACGCGCACACTCAGATATACGAGGCAAATGTGCATTTATGCAAATCGCTGCAAAGTGATTGAAATAAATGCAATGAAACGTGTCGTTAAAGGTTTGTGAAGGATGTAAAGTGCGGAGAGGAGAAAAAAGAATAAAACTGTCATATGCAAGTGCATAGGCAACGCAATAAAATGCAATGCTAGAGTTACTACTCACACACACACATGCATGCTACATGTAAGAGAGTGGCGGCGCATAATAGAAGCGATTCGAGTCGAGTAGGTTTTGAAAGCTTTTATTGAAAGTTGTGCGACATTAAGGACAATGAGCTTTTTAAACGCTACCTGCTCTTTAAGGAACTCATCGTGTGAGTGAATGTGTGTGTCATCTGAATATTTAACAATGCATATTGCGTTGATGTGCTTAAATAAAAGAGGTATTTGTATAAGCTGCTTTGATGTGAGCTGTCAGAGGAGCGTCAGATCGGCATGAGAGAGACCAGAAAGAGGACTACTTCTCCTTCATTCAATATAATTTAGTATAATCATTTCTAATACGACTGCAGTTGCTCTCTCACTTGTAAAATTCGCTGCGAGTAAATAGATTTCGAAAAGCAAATTGAGGCAAGGTCTCTGTAGTGCTTAGCTCTCAAATTTTAAGACCGACTATCAAGTGTATTCTTAGCAAGAGGTGCTGAGCAATAATGTGGCGAAGAAACTCATTGCAACCTTGCACTGCCCATACTTAACAAACTATCTTGACAGCTTCAAGCACTAACATTTCTCAGCTTTTCAGTTATGTGTGTGGAGTATAGGGCGAGTTTTTACCCGACTTTATTATTGCCTCAATTTTATTAAAATAGCTTCCATAATGGCTGATATATGCTGTCTAATGTCCCCCGGAAGCTCGAAAACATTTATTTATATTAGGCATATGGGGGGTAAGTGAAAGGATTTAACTTTTTAGAAGCACACAGACATATGACTATCAAGAAGGAATTTTCTCACAATTTCAATTACATACAAGCGTACAAGTGATGTGAAGCCTTCGAAGATGGTCGAGGGATCGATTAAGCCATGCTTCGTTCTGTATGACCTTCAGTTGAAGAAGTTACTGATAAAAATATTAAAAAGTGAGGGATATGGTGTGTGAAAATCGTCAGGTAAGTGTTAAGCAGATGGCGAGAGAGCTCGCCAATAAATAAACATTTATGAATAATGAAATATTTTTCATATTATTCACAATTTCATTTTGTCTCATTTCAATTGAATCTGTGGTAGTTTAACTCTCTTTCTTGTCTATGATATTCTTTCCCACCTAACACTTTGAGAGAGAAATCACTCAACTAAACACCATCTGTACAAAAATTTCGGTAAATGTTGATAATGCATCAATATAATTAAATTGTCAACAAAGTCTTGCGGTATTTTCGCTAGTTGGCGCTGAGAGCGCGTAGTTCTAGTTTTATTCGTCGCATCGGGTCATGCTATACCTTTTTGGAAAGCTCATTTCACGCGCTAACACGTGTTTGATTGATTGTCGTTTCTTTTAAGTCGTTCATGAGTTATAGCGTCGCAAACATGGAGCAAAATAAAGAGAAAATACGGCATATTTTACAGTACTACTACGATAAAGGCAAAAATGCATCGCAAGCCGCCAATAAAATGTGTGCAGTTTATGGACCCGATACAGTTTCCATTTCCACCGCACAACGATGGTTTCAACGTTTCGTTCTGGTGTAGAGGTGGTCGAAGGTGCGCCACGCTCCGGAAGGCCTGTCGTCGAAAATTGGGATAAAATCGCTGACTTGGTCGAAAGAGACCGGCATAGTAGCAGCCGTAGCATCGGTCAAGAGCTGGGCATGAGTCATCAAAAAAAATTGCATGAACAATTGAAAATTCATTAAAAAATACCGCCAGACTTTTTTGACAATCTATTCTATAAATTGATAGTATAAAGTTGCTTCTAATAACTGTTTCAAGACTTTGAGAGTATTTGGTAGTGAGAAAGGAATTACGCAGGTAAAAATGGTTATATATTCCACAAATTTTTGATCTTGTATATATCTGAAATCAAACCCATTGTTATAACCGGTTCCAAATACTACTTTGAGCAGAAAATAGTAATACTTTATAATTCAAATTCCGCTTTCGTCCTCACTAATTCGCCGAAATATTTTACATTCGCCGATTTTTAGGAAGAGCTCAATTATTCAACAAAAAAGTTCTACTCAATTTTGTGAGCGAAATCAAATTTCTGGTGCCGAAACGTTCAGAATGTTGGAAAAGCGGTGATTGTTTCTCGCTAGCGTTTTTGATTAGTGTTAATGATTTAAGTATGGAAGGGCTACGTTCGGGTGCAATTAACCACTTTATATTCTGGCAACTTGCAAAAATCAAAGCCAGGGAAATCTTTATGATGCACAACGTCATCCAGAGTTTCGGAAGCCAAGCAATCGTATATCCATATAAATATAGAACTCATATCAAACGCGAAATTCATTAATTGTATAAGGATACTACATATGGAAGTTGAGGGTAATAGCGACCCGATTTAATCTGGTTTTGGAATTCATTAAAACACAATAGTAAGGTCACCCGGAGGTTCTATTTTATTATTTTATTCATTTTGGACACAATGATACAGTGTTATCAATGAAACACGCCCTCTAATTTCCAAAAAGGCATCTCACATATCGACCAATATATGTGGTGTAAAGTCACCAGGAAGTAAGTCAATTGCTATAAGTCAATAACTAAATGCGCCAGGAGCATTAAATTTTATTCCCGGCATGGTGTAAGAGAAATTTCTTAGAGTCGGGGTCGAAATTGGACGATGGGCGTTGTACCGGCCACTTTTTGGTGAAACCACATATCCCGAGGTCCTCCCGACTGATTTTCTCCAAATTTGCTATGTGACATTCCTAACACATTTTTACGTTCTTTATTGGCATAAACTACGCTTACGCGGTTATAGCGAGGCTGTTGTATTCTTTCCATTGGCGGGTTTTTTCACGTAGCGGGTCCCAAACCCAGCGCACAACCCTGGCACAATTTTATGTTACAGTGTGAATAGAGGCACATATAGGAGTTACAACCACGCCTAATTCCCATTTTCCACAATTTAAAATTCCGTTTGAAACTTTAACTTTCCAGTTTACAAATCAGAAATCAATGAACAGGATAAAACATGCACAATTCTGCATTTGAAGAATGCCACCTTATGACTAAAAAGCCTCTAGATAAAGAGAGTGGACCTCGTTTTCACCACAAATATCGATCATTTTGATAAAACTGAATCACCGTAAGCCTTTTCCAATATTCGCAACGATTCCGCACACGAAATTTCGTTACAAATACAAAATTTGAAACAAATTCTTTGTTCGATGTTTTTATCCATTATAAAAATCGCAACGCACTACTAAGGTGTACCGACTTAAACGGCTGCTGTAAACAAATTGGTTGGAAAATCGTGCCAGCAAAACACAAACGCAAGAGCATTTACCTGGGGAATTTAATTACAATATCGGAACGACTTTTTGTCACAACATATGTATGCTTATGAGTTAATACCTACCTAGTTGAAAAACAATGATTTGTCTTATTCTTTTCAATATTCTAATTAAACACTTGTATTTTTTAGTTCAGTTAACGATCACGTCAACAACTTCGTGCATCTCAACAAAGAAATTTTTTTTACAATTCACACAGGTAGTCAAAGGCATATGCACTCATACCATAATACTTTTTAGTTGTTTATCACCCGCTAAAAACATACGTTCGACTGAAGCTTCGAAGCGCTCATCCCGTTGCAGATACAAAGTTTAATAAAAAAGTTGGAGTGATAAGAAAATGATATCGAATTCAATGGTTGGGGCGCGCGAAAGAGAGATTGCATAATTGGATTTTAGTTAAATAAACATTATTTCTAAATAAAGGTTTCATATTTTCACTTTCCTTATTTTATAAGGAAGTTCTCTCCAGTGCAAATGTTAAACTTCACTCTGCACTCTTATGTCTATCTGAGTAAGCTCAACTCTACGATTTTCTTTTCCTAGTTTTTAAGTGTGTATACCTAATGATGAAAGCTTTTTTCCAAAGTCTGCTATGACTATTTTGTACTGCGGAATTCCTGTGTCACCTAAACAAAAAGTGACATTACTTTTGTAGGGATCAAATTCAAGATATCGAGTATGTAAAAGTTTATTTATATACTATTTTTTAACAGTTTTTTAACTTGGGTCATGCTTTTATTTATATAGTTCAGTTTTTAAACTTTGATAAAACAGTTAATCGCGGAACGCATCAGAAGAATGCTCTGAGTCATCTGAGGATTTCGCGATCTTACTTATAAAATTTTAAATTATATCTTAATAAAATTTTACTTGTGTACATAGATAATATTTGTAATATAATATCAAGAACTTATTACTAATTTGCCTAAATAAAAACAAAATATTACAGAKCAAATAGTTTAGGCCTATAACTCCAATAGTARTAGTTAKATAACATTCACGCTACGTTACACTTCAAAATGAGTTTGCCTTCCACGTCCTTCTCAACTACTTCGTCGATGTCGGCGTATAATGCCGAATGCTGCTGCACCAAACGATCCTTGAAATCCACCTGTCGTGTGAAGGCGTCGATATCTTGGGGAGAAAAATCACATATCTTGCCTTCACAATTTATCAGCAGGCCTCCAGTGAGATCAATTTTCGTCTTCGTTAGATGTAAGCGATTCATTTTACGCCGTCTTAGTTCCTTTCGATATACAAAAAGGTGATATTGGAGGAGAGGTTTCGAAGAGCTGTGCTGTATGTCACGTTTTATTGTTTCTTCTCGTTGTCTTTCGGTTTCGTCGTCATAGAACTCCATGTCCACATCAAAATTTAGGTCTGTATCCAGATCCATGTTCAAGTGGAACGTCAAGTCACTATCAAAATCCATGTAGAGATCTTCTGCCATTTTGTATTTGAGCTTAATATCTTGTAAGGTTTAACACTTAACTTGTTATGATGAGGCTAGTACAGATGAGAATGTTGATAATTCTGAAAAACCTCAGCTTTATAAGCATTTCAAGCAGGTATCCTTAATTACAGGTACTTAGTAAAGTTTGTGTTCACTAATAATTCCTTTTGTGTTCAGATATTTTACCTAACCGACTACTAAGGGTTCGAGAAGCAGTAAGGAGTGAGCGACAGGTAGGCTATAATCTCAGGGCCATAATTACAAAATTCAATGACAGATTAATCATTACTTTATTTTCTGGTAATTTAAAGGAATAAAAGTGGGTGCCTGAAATTTTATGAGAAGTAAAAAGACCTATAAACATAGTCAAGAAATATGCTACCACTCTGTAAGAACACTCTAAATCACCAAAATGCTACTTAGAATTCATTGCTTCTTTCTATTTCCTTAACTCTTCTGTTTCTTAGTTTTTTTAAAGGGTATTTTTTTATTTTTATTATTTTACAATTGCGCCTAGTATGTAAAAATAAAAAACGAACAACAATTCTAGTCCAATTAATTGGGAGAAATACTTAAAACCTTAATGGTAAGAAATATATTTGCTGCTACTGTGTCTAGGTCACTAGACACTAGGTCGGAAGGTCCAGCAGTTTTGATGAGTTTGGAGGCTTCCTCATTAACATGCTGTCTAAGCCTCAGTTCGTGAGACTTGGCAATTTTGGAGATTTCGTTTACCACTGAATTCATGCCTAGATCACGTTGCAGATCTGCAGATCTAACGTACCAAGGAACATTAACTAAATTCCTTAGTACCTTACTTTGAAAGCGCTGAATGTAGACCCAAACTGGYTTTTGAACTTGTTTATATACTAACAGTTGGTTTTGAGTGGATAGCGTGGATTTTCTGCCAACTACGTGGTAAAGTTTAGCAAATTTCATATGAAGCTCGCTCCTTTGGTGATAGCTAGGTTTTAGCACTGTTATGATGTGGTAAAGGAATATTAGTTATGTAAATCGGACGATATGTCAAAGTAAAGTCGACGGGAATTGATTTGGTGTCGTTTAGTTTGATGCGCCACTTAGATTCCCACTTAGTAATTCTTTTGAATGTTGTTTGCACTCGTCGAGTAGATACTGAAGTTGACTCTCCAGCTTCTATCAATGCTGTGACATCCGCTAATGATGGGACAGATGGGAGGTCACTAGTAAAAAGCAAATAAGGCATTGGCCCAACACGCTTCCCTGCGGAACACCTGCTTCTATCGGTGCAAGTTTGAGTATGGATATTTTAAGTACGAAGCTATTATTTTGCAAAATTGTTTGGGTAGCATGTATTTCAATTTGAGCAGCAGACCCGACTTTATCGAAAGCATGAGACACATCCACGAGGGCCGCCGTACAAACACTGTTTATAATGTTCAGAAGTTTTTTTTTATACAATTTTTGGTAAATTGCATAATATTTCTCCAGTTATTAAATCGTACCCAGATGCTGATGTGTGGATCCAACCAACTGTTATTACAGTTTATCTCATATCCATCGTTACGCGTGAATGTGTTTCTCCAATGATTTTCAAATAAGGCAGCTTTCTGTTCATTCCTTTTGGCCCATCTAATTTCATTTAGTTTTAATCGTGTTTTATTTGTTTTTTTTTTTTATTTATTTCGTGTCAAACTCACCGTCCAACTCAACACCTGTCGTTAGTGTTTAAGCATTGGGTCGACTTTATTCAGTATACTTTTAAATGCATAAAAATTAGTGTGTTTATTACACAACGTTGGCTTGGTAAATTATTGAGGAATAAGGAATTCTAGAAGGTTAGGAAGGATGAATACATAGCTACTAAAAGAGATGCATCTGTGAAGGGTATATTAGCTTCTGTGTAGCCGTAGCTAACGTTTTTTCTTGTTTTTTTATAAATTCATATATGTAACTCTTTTTATATTATGCTTTGGTGGACTATACAGAGCAATAAGAGACAATGGGTGATTGTTCAATTTAACTGAAATAGTTGTAGCTTGAATTTCTACCGTCCTCATCGGATCTTCCTCGCAGTGTTCAACATTGCTTTTCCCTCCTGGTGCTGAGTTGCCGGGTGCGGTTTTTGATATAATTCATAATATTTATATTTAAAAATGAATGACAATTGACATATGTCAATATTTCTGTCGTGTAGAATAAACTCTAGTTCATCTAGACCATTAGCGTTCCACAACATTATTCTCAAAGGGTTACTGTTCATCAATAAATTGTAGATGATACTCAAGAGCATTGAGTCGCGGATTAAGGGACTTAATTATTTTATTTTGCTCATTTAGTTTTTCCAAAGTTTGGGATAATGTGCTACTTTTTTTAGCTGTGTTGGTATTACCTTGCTTAGCCATTTGCGCAAATGAAACTTTAGAAACGGAAGGAAGGGATTTTACTTCTCCTGTGTTCACAATCGGTCTGTTCGTCAGAGCCTTGACATTCTCCTCGATTTAATTACCATTATTTTTATCTCTAAGTGTTTGCAGTTCATTTGCGACGACACAACCATGGTAGCTTGCCGGATGAGAATCGCCGCAGTTACAACATTTAGCAGGATATTTTTCAGCTTTTCTGCATTCAAAAGGATAGTTTTCTCCACCTCGATGGCTTACCACAGAAGTTTTTTGTATGTCCAAACCCTTGACAGTTTCTGCACTGTGAAGTTAATTTAGATGCTTTAATAGGCTCAACTTTGACAACGGTACTAAGAATGGTTTTGATCTGGTGAATTCTAGTACTACTAAAAATATATCTAGCGATTCTCTAGTCTTCTATTTAAGCTTATCAATTGCATTTAAGAATTGTGTAAATATTTTATCATTACCTTTGAGGCCTAATAAGTTTACTCTCGTAGCTAAACCAGGTTGTGTTTTCATTTGATAAGAATTTGGTTATGGTACGATTATAATTTACATCGCAGACATTAAGTTTGTAGGCGCCGTTGCTCAAAAGCTTTATTAAAAAATTGTTATTTATTGGAGCTGCAATATTAAAATGTAAGTTATTAAAATCCTTTACATCGTTTATTATAATCGGAGGTGGGCGGTGACCGTTTGCTCTTTATTTTTATTCTTCGAAAAGCTAATAATTGGAGAAATATCAGCTTTGCGTKTTTTTGAATAGCGCTTCTTTTTGAGTATCCACCCAGTTTATTTAGCTAACTCATTTTCATCGGTTTCGTATCTTTGACCACCATCCTTACTAGATGGTTTTGCTTCAATACTCATATGCTTGCTTTTACTCATTTAGTTCTTCGTTTTGTTTCTTTTTCTTTTTTAACTCAATGTTATCTTCATGTAACTGATTGCACATCGCTTCCGCAGTTCTAAGCCTTTCATTTATAACTGAGTTAGTTTTTTCTAATTCTCTTATTTTATTTACCCTAAACGAGCTGAGACCGTTTCTCGGCGTCACCTCATGAAGAGGTTCAGCCATTTTTATATTCTAATGGTTTCTCTACTGGGTATTAGAAACCTATCGTTTGCTCGATAATGAAATTTAAATGTTTTTTCCATATGGAATGTGCACTTGTCAGACGGAGTTCAGGATGCAGGTCGCAATTTCTATTGGAAATAAAAAATTCAAGAAGAATCATTTTTTTCGATTACAACTATTTTATAATAAAAAATAATTATCGCGAAATTTTAATTTTTTAATAACCAAAACACGTATTTTTTCAATATTTTTTCCAAAAATTTCAGAATTTTTTCTATTAATAGTGCCCGCTTGTATCAATATAAGATTCTTATAAAATATTAAATTTTTTGTATGAGACAAAAATTGTTGAAAGAAGSTTGTTTTTTACGCGAATAAACTCATGTAACCCCTTAATGAATTTTCTAGACAAAAATGGCGATAAAAATCAAGAATGTGTTTTGTGTTAAATATATAATATATACATCGGATGAATTAGCGAAAACATTCTATTGTCAATAACGCGAAGTGTAACTTCGTTTATCTGCTTTATGATATTCTCTACCTGGCGCTCACTCTTTGTTGTTGACATAACTTAAGTATATTCTACTGTCTTTCAAGGCAAGCCTTAATAGTCGCTTAATAAGTAATTAAATATCTGAGCACAAGAGCAATGATTACTGATAACAAAGTACCTGTAATGAAGGCTACCTGAGTGAGAATTACGGCTTATAAAGC